TTGTCTAATTTAAATACTTTATCTGAAAATTCTATACTAGCTGTCATACCTAAAACCTGCTTGTAGGTTTCTTATTTAACTACTCTAGTTTCTATATTCACCCACTTACTTCTACTTATCAATGACTCTAACTGATGCTGATAAAAATATATTATGATCACTAAGTCTTTAAAGCAGTTCTTTAAAATTTTTGATCTTATATTAAACCTTTCAGAATCTTCTATATTCTATTTTTACAGCTGATTTAGTATCATTATAGATAAGATCAATACTAGTAATTAGGGCATACCATTAAACCACTATGTTTTTGTAAAGTTCATCCCAACTCTGATACTGACTTTACAACATATTCTTATTACTTTAATATTTAATTCAAGTTTTACCAAGTTGCCATTTTAGATAGCTAAAAAGGTAGATTGTAACTATATACCTCTGGTTTACATGTTTGTTAGCATGTACTCTTTTTTTCTAAAATTTGAAAATTTCAGTAGCCTGGTTGGTTTATCCAGTTCCTTCTCAAAGACCAGTTATTTGTTTGGTTTTACAAGTTCTAACTCTATTTTATAAGTCTAGTCTTTACAATAGTATCATTAAAAGTTTGAATTACCTTTCTATTCAGATCTTTCAATTAGATTTTTGTCTTCCTATCTGGTTCCTATAATTTATATAGACTAAAAACTTATTTTGATTCACATTGCCTAGTACTGGTTTGTATTTCTTCATATAACATTGTATGAGTGTCTAGACCTTCTAGTTATGCTAATATGATATAAGTTACAGATATCTAATTCTAACTAATTACAGAAGGCAGTTAACTATAATATAAAAAGAATTGCAAATTTTTGCTATTATTGGGATTTGAACTCTAGATCTGCTATTTGGAGGTTAATAACTTATTCACTTTACTAGGTTACCATATCTACAAGTCTTGATATTCATAAGGTCATAAAATAGACCTGCTATAAATTTCCAATATTTATAAGGTCATAAGGTTATAAAGTAGACCAACTTAAATTTTTTTCTTAAGAAAAAAAAAATTTAAATCAATAAATTCTTAAAAAAAAAAAACAAAGTCATTATAACAAAATTGTATAAAAAGATTATAGTTTTAATTTTTATTGGATTTAACTTATATTACTATTATGCCTTTTTCAAATAAAAGAAAATGCCAACTTGAAACTGTGAGAAAATCAAAAGTTAAGTATACACATTTAAAAAAAATAAAACAATGCACAAAGGTAATAATTTATTAGATTATGAATTAGTAATAAAGAGTTTAATAATCATATTTGGGTAGATAAAGAAATTAATAAAAAAGTTAATAGTTATTTTGAAGTTTTATTAGCAGCTGTTAGGAATAATAATACTTAAAAAATTGTAAATAGACCTATTTATAATTATAGTAATTCTGAAAGAACATTAAGACAAAAAAAAGCTAAACTAAAAAAAGCTACACAAAACACAAAATTTATTACTTCTTATTTATCTAAATTTTTAGTTACAAATGTAGTAGTATAATTAATAAAGACAAATTTAGTTAATAAAGCTGTAGATACAATAGTGATTGATAAGTATGAAGATACAATAATGGTTAATAATACTGTAGATTCAGTAGTAGAATTAGCAGAAATAAATATGAACAATGATAAAGTCTGTATGAAATAAGCAATTAAAAAATTAAACAATATGTTAAAAAAAAACAATAAACAAGTTGATAAAGAAACTAAGATTCATTTACAAGCAGCATTACAATATTTGCATTTGAAATATTAAGGTTGAACTAAAGTAAATTCAAGTGCAATGATTGCTAGGTCATTAGGCTAGGAAGCTTACAAAACAAGATGTATTTGTATATGAGGTAATAAATAATTAAGATAGTGAAAATTATCAAAAGAAAATTATGACAAGCATATAAAAATAACAAGCCTTATTAATGATGAAAGAATATCAATAAAGTAAAAAAAAAATTATTTTACTTTTAAATATAATTCCTAATTCTTTGCTTACTAAAGATTCTATTTAAAATAGATAATATTATATTTACAATGCAATAATTTTAGTGTAAATTTTAAGATTCTAAAAAAATTTGTAGAAAATAAAGTCTTTTTATCTTTAGGCATTGAAAAAAAAATAACTATAAGTAAAAGGATTATATTAGAATGGCTTAAAAAGTTAGAATATAGTTATAAGAAATGGAAAAAGGATGTATATATAAATAAGCATGAATGAGAGGATGTAGTATAATATTAACAAAAAGTTTTTTTATTTATAATAGCTGAGTTAAAGCCTTTTCTTATTAAATATAATAAAAATAATTTAACAAAATTAGTTAAAAAAAATATTCCTTTTAATCAAAAACTACTTTGTATAGTAGCATATGATAAGACAATATTAGCCACTAATAATAATAAAAAAACTGAATAAAGACCTAAAGGTTTGTGTTTTTCAGATTAATTTGTTTGGTAAAATTATTTTTATTTATTTATTAATGTTTTTTTTTAAAATAAGTAAACAAAAATTATGTTCAAAGAGATGAGCCAAATATATTTATATTAAAATTTTTATGTAAACCTTTGAAACATGTTCATTTAACTGTAGAGCAACATTTAGCCTATTCAGAAATTCCAAATAGATACATTACAGAAACTCTTGAGGTTAGTATAAACCACAATGGTTATTAGAATGTTTAGTTACTTGCTAAATAACTTAAACAAACAATTAATGTTTTGAAAATTGTATTTCCAAATACAATTTTTGTATTTGGATTTGATAACAGTTCGAATTATAGTGCTTTTGCTAAAGACATATTAGTAGTAAACAGAATAAATATAAAATATAATAACAAACAACTGTAAATGCATCTTAGTCAATTACCTGATAGTACATCTTAAGAGATAGTTTTTTTATCTAATTATAAAAATGTAAATAAAAGAGAACAACCAAAAAGAATAAAATAAATAATAAAAAAAAGAAATATTTAAGATCAACAATTAAGATATAAATGTATTATATACTCAGAAGATGAAGAAAAGATTTGTTGTAATATGAGGAAGTTAGCAAAACAGTCAGATATTATAAACTAAAAAAATGTTCTTAAGGATATTGTACATAGTCAAAGTCATAAAATTATTTTTTACTCTAAATTTTATCAAGAATTAAACTATATTAAGTATTTTTAGAGTGCAATAAAAAAATATACAAGAAGTTATTGTAATTTCATATTTTAAGATTTATGAAATACTGTATTAGAAGTTTTTAATTTTGTAGATGTTATAACAATCCAAAAGTTTGCAAGAAGAGCATAATGATATATAGATGCTTATAAAAAAGGATTATTACTTGCTGTTACTGAATTGCTATAAAAAAATACAAATCACATCAAAGAATCTCTGAAAATATTGTTTCTTAATTGTTGTTACAAATCAATAAAATTGCTCTTAAGTACTTTAAATATTATTTATAATTAAATTTTTATTTTTGAAATATAGATCTTTTCACTATATTTTAATTCACAAAATTTAAAATACAGTTAAAGAAAGTTATTTTAATTAGTCAAAAATAGAATATTCTAACTAAGTAAGTTTTTTAATATATAATTCAGATTATGTTTTTATAAAGTTATACTATTACTAAAATCTAAAATCTGCATTTCTAGCATGCAGTGTTTTATAACAAAATAGTTAAGAATCAACAAAAAAATAAAAATAAAAATAAAAAAAAATAAAAAAAAACAACAAAAAAAAATAAAAAAAAAATTATATTTTGCAAGCAAATAATTTAGAGCAATTAGAAGTTAAAAATGCATAAATTTGAAAAAATATATTAAAAAATTAAAGAAAAGTACTTAACAAGATATAGTTTATTAAGTTCAAATAGTGTGCAAATAGAAACTATACTTTAGGCAACACAATCTATAAAAAATAAATCCAATTTAATATTGTTCAAAATTGAGCAATATTGTATATTATTTGAGTATAAGATAAAAAAACAAAAATAACAATCCTGAAACTTATTTAAGTTCAATAAAATAAAATAAAGTTTGATTTAAAAATATTTGCTGTTAAATATTCGCAATTAAATAATAAATAATAAAACTAAAAATAGTGTTGTTACAATATAAATAAAAAATAAATAATAAAAATAAAATAAATAAATTAAAATTGAATAAATTAAATAAGTTAAAAATAATGCAAATAAAAAAAAATAAAAAATAAAGTAAAAATATGCAATTAGTTATTTAAACTTGTAGTTACAAAAACTTACAATACTATTTTTATATAAATTTGTATATTACAAAGCATAGCCAAATTCAAATTGTTATATAAAAATACTTAAATTTTAATAGCTAATAACTTAAGCAATAGTAAGTTAAAATAAAAAATCTTTTTGTAACATTGTAATTCAGATTTTAAATAACCAATTTACAGAGTTTTTTTTAGTTAGATAATATTTTTTTTTTTTTTAAACTTTGGTAACAATGCCAGTTGGTTTTTATTAGCCTTAATTTGATATAGTACAAATTTATAGTTACATTTTAGGATTGATTATTACTATTACTATATACTATTTAATTTAGCACTACTGACTTCACCTGGTTACCCTTATGCAGGGACATGGAAATTTTTCAAAAGCAATTTTTTGAAATAATTTGAAATTTTTTAGTTAAATTAAAATTTTTCAAAATTTTGACCAAGCTTGATTGAAATTTCTCGAAATTTTGGCAAAATTATCAAAAAGTCACATGCATTAAATATTATTGGCCAAAATCAATCACATGAAAATAATATTATTGGATACAAAAAATATATTAATAATGATAAACATTTTCAAAAAAAAAAAAAAATTGCAAAAACATGCTGTTTTCTTTGAAACTAACTATTTGGGTTTGAAGAAGTAAAACTTTACCTTTTTTTGTTTAATTACCATAGCCTTTAATGAAGAAAGGCGGGTTCCTGATTATTTTCCTAAAACTTACAAAATAATTAAATTAGCTAAAAAGTATGACCTCAAGGTCAAACATTACTCTATACACCTGTCAGAAAGAATTTCCAAATACTTTTAATATTCTTAATAATACATTGGTGTGTACTTACTGTGAACATTCAGTTAGTTGGAAGCAAAAAGTCAGTATTACCACTCATGTTAATTCTAAAACCCATTTAAAAAACAAAAAAAATTATGAAATAGCAGCTCAACATAGACAGTCTCAAACTTTGGAGGATTCTATATCCGTGGCAGAGTCTAAAAAAATAGTGGTGAAAGATCTTATAAAAGCCTTTGTTAAGGCAAATATACTTTTAGAAAAGGTGAATGTACTGCAACCATTTTTTAGAAAACATTGTAAAGAAGGGGGTTCAGTACTAAAAGTTGATACATTAAAACAATATTATTTTCCCAGAATATATCAGCAACACATTAAGGATTTAAGAGTTATTTTTCAAAACAAGCCTGTGGCTATAATCATGGATGAAACAACAGATAGTCAGGCCCGAAGTGTTGTGAACATTTTGTTCAATTATCGCAAAAACACCAAGCTTGTAGTAGTTAATTACTTAAGTTCTGTTAACAATACTACCATAGGTCAGCTAATTATTAAAATGTTATTTGAATGGTTTATACCATTTAATTGTCTATGTCTTTTAGTATCTGATTCAGCCTCTTATATAAAAAAAAGTTATCATGAGGTCCTTAAACCAATTTTATCACAACTTGGTCATTTACCCTGTTTAGCACATATTCTTAATCTTATTAGATAAAGATTTTTTTAATTTAATTATAATAATATGATATATTGTATTTTAATTAATTTAATTTTTTATTAATTAGCCAAGCATGGGTATCGATTCCGCAAATGGGTTTAGTTAAAACCTTATTATTAAATATCAAAAAAACATTTGTTTATGCAAAAGCAAGATGTACACGATATATCAAGTTTTTAGCAAGAAATGGAGTTCAGAATCCAATGAATATTTCACTTTATGTAGATACTCATTGGAATTCATGGTTTTAGATGGCATTCTACATAAATGATCATTATCAGCATATTCGAAACTTTTATTTAGAAGAACATTTGAATGATTCAAATGAAATAGTTGATAAGTTATTCAAGTTTTTTAATAATATGTCTAATAATAGTTGTGTGCAAATCTATCTTTCTTTTATTAAACTTTATGCGCAACAAGTTATTAATGATTTGAATTTTTTTCAACACAAAAATCTTCCTTTATTTCCTTATATTGAGGGACAGTTAGATCAATTAGAAGTTTACATTAATAATAGAACACAATTAGAAAATTTGGATGGGTCTTTAATTTCTTTAATTCAAAATCTTAATTTTGATCCTCAAGCATTTTTACCAATATTTAGGTCAGCTTATAATGCTGCTTCAAAAAATTTAATGATCATATTTCAAATCACTCCTCTTGTGCGCTTTTTAAAGCATCGCAAATATTTGATCCAAAATTCATTAATATTACTTCATCTAAAGATATGCTTTCTTACAGTACTTCGATTCGTGAATTTTCAGATCTTTTATATGAACTTATTCAAGATTGGGTTAGATATTGTAATTTGGATTTATTTTCAATAGAGTATTCGAATTTAGAAGAATTTTGGCAAAAAATTTCATACAATTTACCTCTTTTAAGCCAAATTGCTTTAGATTATATTTGGT